TCTTCTGCACGTCCTTGTGCTATTGCAGAACTCCTTAAGCAGTTTTTTAGGGCATTGCCAGAGCCCATTCTCCCAGCTGATTTACATGAAGCGCTTTTCAAAGCCTCAACAGTTAGGAACAGAAGAGAAGAATAAAGCTACATTGTTGCTCTCCTGCCTTCTGCCTGACCACACTATTGAAATATTAAGATACTTCTTTGATTTCCTCAGGAATGAATACGACTTGGGCCCACCCAAGAATGCACATAATCTCCCTTGTCTTGACCTTTAGTAAAACTTCCTGCTTTTTGCTGTATAAAATAAACATGCTGTGTTGGCTCTGGGTCCCTGTGTCTCCATCAGAGGACAGTGGTCCCGCCCGGCACCAGCTTTTTCCTTCCATTTCTGTGTCTGTCTCTTTCTTTCATTTTCTCAATCCCCAGCAGCCCCTACTCAGGAACTGGACCACTCTCTAGCTGTGCTGGACACGGAAAAGAGAGAAATATTTACAGTTTCTTACATTTTTTAAAAAACAAGAACATCCTTTATTTATTTACTTTTATTGTTTTCAGAGAGAGAAAGGTAGAAGGAGAGATAGAAACATTAATGATGAGAGAGAATTATTGACTGGCTGCCTCATGCAGGCCCCCTACTAGGGATCTAGCCATAACCCAGGCATTTGCCCTGGCCAGAACTTGAACAGTGACCCCCTGGTTCGTGGGCCGATGCTCAACCACTGAGCCACACTGGCTAGACATGTAGTTTCTTACATTTTATTCAGATTTGTAGGAGAAACATCATTACTTGTTGTCAAATGATTATCGGTACTGTGAGTGCATATTCACTTTTTACTTGAACCCAAGTCTCCTCCTTGCTCTTGTTTATCAACAGCTTCTTTGCTAACTTAGTTATAAATACCTCATAAACATAAAATTTCTATAAACTTAACAGGCAATGTGTTATAGATCCTCTAAATCAGTGGTTCTCAACCTTCCTAATACCGCCACCCTTTAATACAGTTCCTCATGTTGTGGTGACCCCCTATTTCATTGTTACAAATTGAACATAATTAAAGCATAGTGATTAATCACAAAAACAATATGTAATTATATATATGTGTGTTTTTCGATGGTCTTAGGTGACCCCTGTGAAAGGGTCATTCGACCCCCAAAGGGGTCGCGACCCACAGGTTGAGAACCGCTGCTCTAAATCCTTTTTGTTGTTGTTGTCTTTTCCCCTGAACCGTCTCATTCCAGCAATAATCTCATTTATAGAACCTGTGGACAAAAAGGGGCCAAATACTAAACCTGATAAGCTCGCGGAAGGCCTTTATGGCAACCTTGCAAACTCAGAGACCTCAAGTAACCACATAGGATGATCTGGGGTCATCATGGGCACTAAAAATATTTAGAGGATGTGGGAAATTACATCCTTTGCAATTGTTAAACTTGTTTAGAGAAAAAAACTTAAAGAATGTGGGAGGGGTATAAGTTTTGCCAAATTCTTTTGGAATTACTCAAATGGAGATAGTCGTTATGCCCAAGAATTGTTGTAAAATATAAGTAGTAGGTGCTTGATAAATAAATGGTGTGTCTTGTGCAGGTGGAGCCTAAGAAGACACCTACCAAGAAGGGCTCCTGGTGGGTAACTGGGATTAAAATTTAAAAAATAGCCGGACCGGTTTGGCTCAGTGGATTGAGCATCGGCCTGCGGACTCAGGGGTCCCAGGTTCGATTCCGGTCAAGGGCGTGTACTTTGGTTGCGGGCACGTTCCCACTGGGGGGCGTGCAGGAGGCAGCTGATTGATCTCTCTCCATCGATGTTTCTGGCTCTCTATCCCTCCCCCTTCTTCTCTGTAAAAAATCAATAAAATATATTTTTAAAAAATAGAGCATAGCAACAATTGTTACACAGAGGCCTGTCACCCTAGCCTGCCCTGTGTTCCTGCCCTCTTGAGCCAGAGGAGTTCCTGGAAGCCTATTTCAACCAATAGGACTGAGACTTTGCCTGACCAATTGGAGCTGTACAGGTATACTCTATTAGCACCAATCTGACCAATCAGACTGCAAGGATTTGGAGCCCTCATTTACATGAGATCAGACCAATCAAGGAACAGGGATGGGACTTCTTTCTATACGTCAGCATCCCTGTGGCTAGATAGACTGAAGACTGCGTTTCCCTGCTGGAGCTGGAAGGCTGAAACACCAACCAGAGGGGCAGAGTGGCATTGAGCTGAACCCACCCCCACCCCAGCCACCGTTCTTGCCGTATTAGAATTCAGCTCTTTGCACAGAGTAAAGTTTCCTTATCCACTACACCCCAAACTGGCATTGAATTGGCCACAATGACCATTGGTTGGCAGTCTGCCTTCCTCGATTTCTGTGATTATTGAATTCATATACTAAAATATTGGTGATGGTGCTGATGAAGGTTTGGCGAAGGAAATGCCAAAGCTACGTGAAAAGAAAATGTGTGTGACCAGCAAAATGTGCACTGCTCAGGACCCCACCGGGATGGGACACCCCACAAAGCCAGAGAGTTCAGGGGGTGAGGTGTGAGCTCCCCGACTTGGGACCTCAGAACCTCATTAAAAACCACCGGGTCAGATCCCAACATTGAGGCCCCAGTCCAAGGCGCTGAGTCAGAGTGAGCAAAAGACACCGAGGGAGGTCACGCCGCGGGCGGGCGCTCAACCCGGGATGGTGCCCTGAG